TATTATTATTATTATAGTTGTGACTGGGAGACAAACTCTAGGTTAATTTACAAATCTAGTGTAAATAGGAAAACAATGCAAGGCAGAAAATAGCCCAATAGCAGGAAAGATGCATTTCCTTCAACATCTAGTTTGACCCTGAAGTTTAAGAACAAATGAATCAAAGGGCGGGGAGGCTTTCAAAGAATGTAGTAGCTGATCAATTCACTGATTGGTTCAAACTAACCTCTAGTTTTCTGTACCACTGCACAGGAGCCTTGCTCCATGTGCACAGGGCTTCATTCAAAGTGGGAAGTAAACAAATGCTACCGGCTGCTGCCCATCCACAACCCTGATGGAGCTCTGGGTGAGCATGCACACATGCAGCTTAGAAGAAACGTTGGTTCAAACTGATACCACCCAAAAATGATATAGTTTTACTGGACTGAATGTGTATTGGGCATTTTAAAAATATATACAGTATATATACAAATCCTCTTACCTAGTTATGCAGGTGTAGCACAAATGCCATAGGTTTTGGGGGTGAACTGCCTCAAGTTAAGAAATCATATAGACACTTGAGACTGAGTTGTATGACTCAGGATGCAACTAGTGTCTTAAGCAGTTAAAAAAAAGCTTGGCAATTCATCTCCAAACTTACATCATTTGTGTAGCCACATGAGGATTTTGGCCATAGTCAATCAGAAATTTGCATCGGGGAAAAAATACCTATGCTCCTATTTCTCTAGAAGTCTACATTCCTTCTGCTTCAAGTGGTGAAAATGAGTGTAATGTTTATATGACAATACACTCAAACAAGCCATTCTCCATATATAGCCTGTATATAACCTGTATACTTAAATAATAGAACTGTATCAACATGGAGCCTTTACTAACACTTCTACCATAAGTTTTTCATTCTGCACAGGCAATGGCTGTCTCCTGTACTTTGCAATGAAAACAATGAAGGGTAAAGAACTGTAAAAAAAACTGTCCTGCTAGACTCAAATAAATAAACAATTTTCAAACTCATAGAGGCATCTGCCTGTGACCTATTCCATATTGCAATTTCATAGCAATAAATACACTACTTAGTGAAAGCCCTCTTCTTGACCAGTTACAAAATACTGCTTTGGCCTGTTTGAAAATAATAAAGGTGCAAAGGCATGTTGACTGTGCCATAATACATTTCCAAAATACTTACCGTAAGGAAAACTCATGCAGAAATGGTCTTTAGTCTGGGAAAACAGCAGCAATAACTTATTTCAGTGGGCTTCCAGAAAAGAAGAACTTTTTGATTTAATGAAGTTGTCTCCAAAGCATTTTTAAAGGTTAATTACAGGTACTGTATAAAACAAGTAACAACTTTATTGATTATACATGATGGGAGCTGGAATTTGAAATCCAGGTGTTAAATTACATAAAATGGGAGGGGGCACGTGTCATATCTATAGAACAGCCTATTGCTTCATAGCTATAAAGATTCTATCAGTGAGGAATGGTCATTTGTACCAGACAACAGGGCACCCATATATTGAGCCATACATACTGCTACATAAGTGCATAATACAATCAAAGACATAGACTCAAACTTCACTCTTATACTTTTGGGTTTTTGTTTTTTGTTTTTTTGGCTTTTGCCTTTTTAACACTTCGTGCTTATCTTGTCCGTGCAGTTTAATATACTCTATACGGTGTGTAATATTTACGTGGTTCCGAGAATTTTATTAAAAACTTTGAAAGTTTTTTTAAATTAGTGAAAACTGTGCCAGGAGTAGCAGCTGTTTTTTGAGGTTATTTGGGCATCATCTGCTGGGGTTGGGGAATGATTCCATGCATTGAGCAATTAATTGTCTATTGGCATCCATAACCTAAGTACAATATGCCACTGAGCTCTGCGCACAAGACATTGAGACCATGACTGAGACGTCGCCATTCTAAAATGTTAGTGACAACATAAGTTATGACAAAAAAGGAGTCTCTTTCATCTATATGACAAAATAGAAACTAAGGAGCTTGTTCTGGTAGGAGCTTCCACAGAGAAGAGGCTAAGATGCCACAAATAGACCCAACTGCAGCTACCCATTATGGTCCCTTTCAGCACACAGCTGTTAAATGCCTTCCAAGAACATGTAACATAGCAGCTGGGCTAGAACTTTAAAACTCTTGTTCATTTCTAATGGCCACTTGCAGTTTTTTACTAGTGCACAGACAAAAGGAAAAGGCTGCTGCTTTTGCCAAGATCTAAAGCTTTGTAAACATTTGCCTATTTGTACAAGTAGACTTCACCTTTGAACAATATGGTAGAAAAGAAAATATACCATGAGAAACAGAGTACAATCTTGTAAATACAATTGGCATCACTTGCCAGGATATAAGATGCTATCGAAGTTTGCAAAATTTATTCAGTCCATATAGCTGGGATCTGTCTTTATTCAAACATTTCGTAATGCCGTGTTTGCCGTACGCGGGGAACCATGTCCACAAGAAGCCTGGAAATAAAAGTATATGCTGATCAAGACCAATAGTCATAGAATGGCAAGCGGAAAACTATGGAGAGAAGGGCTACATGTTCTTGAGAATGCTTCTCAGTGTGTATTCTTCCCTCCAGAAGTTACCAACCCCAAAATTAATCTTATCAGTTCTCTTGAATGTTAGCCCATGTACTACATTCCTTCTTAACTAATAAAATGTAAGTAACAATGAAACAGTAAGATCATGTAGAGCCAGTGGCACGCAGTGGGTAAGAATACTGGACTAAAATTCAGGAGACCTGGGTTCAGATCTGCACTTGACCCCAAGACGTATGAGGTAGCCTTGTGCCAGTTGCAGTCTCTCAGACTGAACTAAATGACAGGGTTGCAAGGACAAAGTGTGCCACTTCGAGCTCAGCGGAAGAAAGATGGAATATAAATATAAGGGTAAAAACAGAGTAGTGTTAAAAACTGACGAACCACAAAGTTTAAAAGATGTACAGGATGCAGGTTGCTCTGCAACTCAAACAAAATAGAAAGGGGAACAAATTAATGCAGAACCTGTCAATCCACGAACACAAAGAAACACAAAAGAGTAAAGGCACTCACTTGGTTCCATAGGCAAATATTGTAAGTCCAATTAGAACTCCTATACTTCCATCCAGATACCATACTGCTGCATTGTGTTTAAATACTTCTGCACTTAGAAGGATAGAGAATCCCATTATTCCTCCTACTAGAGAGTTGAAACCTGAGATGAAGCAGAATTAAAGAATAGGAAATACTAACATGAGCAGAACGCAGAGAGAGTTTAAGGAACAATTTATTCCCCACCATCAATGGTTTGCACATGACAACAGAAATCCCTTTAAATGTTCTGCTATTCCACTGCCATGTTGTAATATAGAATATTCAGTCTTTTTTAGATTCATTCCTAGGCAATTGTCTTTTAAAAGGAGGCAAAGATTAATACAATTCAAAGTGCTTCCTGCTTTTAACAGGGCAATCCCCCAAAAATTCACTTTCACTTTGAATTAAGTATCACAATTAACACGGTTATCTGTCTTCCAAGATAACACTCTTAATGTAAAAACAACAAATAAAATGGACTTCTGAGCTGTGGGAACAGAAAGCTGTATTTCATATAGGATTTTTATGCATAAATACAGAAAGCTTTGACATTCCTCAATTACACTTTTAAAATTATTTCTAAGAACCTGATGCCCAAATTCCATTTGTAACACACTCACACAGACAGGTTCCTAGTGATCTTCACACTGTCCTCCCCCTTTGCAAGTGCTGACCTGAAATAGCTCTTAAACAGAGCTAAGTATCAGACAGTATTTATATTTAAATATAAAACTGTATATTGGACAATACATCTCATGTGACCTCAGAAGGCATCCTCAGGCTGCAATGATACAGAACTCAAAGACATGGTTTAATGTTTCCAGCCACCACACCTATTGTGTATGTTCTTTAGGACTAATACCACTCAATTCTGCAGGCAGTCTTTGGCTTTGTATGCATCCCCTGCTTTCAGGAAGCAACAGCAGGTGCCACACTAATGATGCAGCAGGCCCAATCCTGCAGGGATAACATGACAGCTGTGCAAATATGGCAGAGGACAAGGAAGCTCGCTGGCAAGGAGAAATCTCTTCCTTCTCTAAACATCAAATCAGCAGCATACATGTGTTTTTTTATTAAGAATTGCAGGCACAGCCTGTAAAGAGCATCTCAAAGCTAAAGGAAATGAAAAGTGTCATAAAAGGATGCTGCAAGGGCAGGGGAGGTAGCCTTGCCTAATTTTTTTTTCAAAACAGCTTTGACCCCAAAAGTCTCCTCTTATCTGCAACAACCTCCAATCCATCAACTCCTAAGTAGTACTTTCAGCACCCCACCCATCATTCCAGCACCTAGTTATTACACAGGTTCCCATACAATCAGGAAAAGAGAAAGGCACAAAAGGCTACAAAGGGAAGGAGAACTGGTGAATCTTGTCCTTTTCCATTGGCAGAAATTTCTGTGAGCAAAGTTTTGCTTCCAGGAAGTCAGAATCCAATGCAGGTTAAGTAAGTGCTTCTCCGACCAACTTCTCTGACCATGCAGTAGGTCAGGTAAGCACTTACACTGAAAAGCAATTTAAAAAAAACTCTGCAAAAGCAAACACAAACTACAGACTCTTGTCATCAATGATGCCACAGCAACTATCCATGAAATGCCAACAGCAATTGCCCACAAGAGGTCAGCAGAACAAGCTAGCAGAAGGAGGAACAAGGAAACTTTATTTCATTAACAATATTCATTTGTTATTTTCTAGAGAAGTGGCATGCACTGATGAGCAGTGTTTTTTGTCAGCCACAACTGCAGTCCCACTGAGCACAAATGACATTAAAAAAAACTTAAAAGAAAATGGGTTATCTCTCAACCATTCTTTCATGGTTTGGCCACAAGATGTCAGTCTGCTCCTGTCTCTCTCACATTTTACAACAGCCTTGAAATTCAGCAGCTGCCTGTATGGAACATCCTCTACTTTCATGAGAATGATTCAAATAAACATATTGCTTACTCCTTTCCTACATACAGACCACATTTTTCCTGATTGTGCAGGTGTATTACAATCAATATTTCAGGTAAATGTTTTTTCCAAGACAGCAGTTTTACTGGCATTGCAGCTGTGTGAGAACTACAGTCACCTGTGGTGCATCTGTGAACTTGCAGTTCTACAGAGAAATATGGTAGGAAGAAAACTAATAAGAAACAGAAAACTGCTAACAACTCTAGCATAGAAGAGGCATGGTGATTCAGCTCGGCCGACAGCTTCTGCTCTCCGCTTACTAATACCTGGCTGTGGGTAAGAATCCAATTTCCCCAAACATTCTATTCCATTAAACTCCAATGTACAACATAAAAGAAATCTGTGCTTAGCTATGTTTGATTAAAATATCTAGAATGTGCAGAAGGAAAGACCAAGGTACAGAGCATGGTTCCTAATGTTACTAATGAACAAAATCAGCAGGAATGCAACTATCACAAGGATGTAATCAAAGGAAGGAAAATGATGTTTCTCAGTTATGTGCAAAGGAACTGTTAAGAACATGAGCTTATTATGAGGGACAAAAAAATCCCAGCAATTCAGCCACTGTCTGTTGGACAGACATAGAATGGCTTAGTAAGCCAATATGAAAATAGGCCTTCCAACTGTGCAGGCAGTCTCTCTATGAGATCTGCAAATTAAGCCAAGAGTTGTCTAATTAATAATGGTTTTCCATGTCATCTGAACTGGGAACTATGGTCATATGCTTGCAAAATAGCCAGAATGTTAAACTAATTTCTAGATAATGTTTTAGTAGCTGGTAACCATAATTGGAAAAAAAATAGCACTAACATAATCCACATTTGCAGAGACTCAAAAGATTGTATCCTGTTAGGACATGTGACCACAAAAGGGCATACGCGACTCTCCACTTTAGCTCTGGCAGACTCCTCTTTGCACACCTGGTCTTGCACTGCTTAATTGATGGGTTGCACAAGCAGGTGTGTGACTGGTCACACTACAGGAGAGTCAATCAGAGCAGGGAAATACTTGTGAAAAGATATTTTGAAGAAGCCAGAACCACTAGTGAAACATGGGAGGACAATGGTTGAATCTTCTAATATGTAATGCAGATTTTCTGTAGGAAGTAAATCAGCAGATGTGTCTATACTAATGCGTTCTCTTTTTTTTATTTTATTTTCACAGAAGAAGAGAAAAAGGGGGAGAAGCAAAGGAAAAAGAAAAAAACTAACTAACCTCTCAAATTAAACTAAACCCTCCCCCCCCTTTGGAGTCAGAGACTCCAGTCTCGTTAAGCCCTCTGCTCTCCCCGGTTGATTTCCAGTATAAACTAAGTAGATATACAGTGGTGCCCCGCATTAACCTTCGCTATGGGAAAACATCGTAAAACGGATCAAAAACCCCAATTGGGCCCAAAACTCACTGTTCTCCGATGTTTTCCCTTGTTCCGGCGGCCATCTTGGGTGTACCGGCGGCCATTTTGAGCATCCCGGCGGCCGTTTTGGGTGTACCGGTGCCCGTTTTTTGGTTCTGGTGGCCATCTTGGGTGTACCAGTGGCCATTTTTTTGTTCCGGTGGCCATCTTGGGTGTTCCAGCGGCCGTTTTTTATTCCAGCTGCCATCTTGGGTGTACCAGCACCCATTTTTTTTGTGTTCCGGCGGCCATTTTGGAGCCGCAGAACAGCTGTTCCCCCATCGTAATGCGTGCGTGCCCTCGCATTAGCGATGGGGAAATCCGCATCACAATGCGGATTCATTGTTCAACGGTGCACTCATTATACGAGGCAATACTTCTCATCACCATTTTGTCTTCCTAAATTCTACATTTTTCTGACGCTTATAGTTGCCTGAAACAGCTAGAAAAAAGTGGCTGATAATCCCAGTTAGCTCAGTGAGACACTTCATGCAGTGGCAGAAAATCAAGAGATCTGTTATGTGTATGTTAACTAGTAACACCACACTCACAATTTAACCCATTCGTACACTACATGGCATTGTGTTCACTCCACTAAACCCATATCTGACATAGCAGTAGCAAAAAATTAGGAAATACAGAATATGCTACTTACCATCAGTTAACAATGCTCTGCTTGTAAGCACATTTCCCAGCATAAATTTGATTACAGCCAAAGTAGTGCAAAGGATTCCACTTAAAATGGAAACGCTATATAGAAAATCATCCTGCAAAGCAAAAGGAAAACAATATTATCTCTTATTTTTCATTCCAATAAAAAGTTACCAAACAGAGAAATAGACCAGGACCACTGCAATATTGTGGAAGTAGCTTTGAACATAGCTGGAAAAAGTGAGAGTGGGCGCTTGATTGATTGATGTGTGAGTGTCATCAGTTAGGCGTTTGTCCCACAATTTGGTCTAGGTTGCAGACAAGCTAGTTTGCTCCTTTTTCCAGCAGCCACACTACATACATGCTATGTATGTAGAAAAGAAAGCTCCAGCTCCCTTTCTACAGGCAAGCAGGAAGGAAGCTTTTCATTTCTCAAGATCGTTAAGCTGTCAGCTGGCTATTCATTTGGTGAAGCCCCCTTAACTATCTTGAGAAATGGACAACCTGCAGAAGGGAAAGAAATGAAGCCTTCTTCAGAAATCCTTCTCTTTAAAGGGAAAGAAGATTTTGATTGTGCTAAACAGGGTTGCTTGAGGTGTGGGTTATCCTCAATGATATAATGAACCTTGGAACAATGCTGTTTAGCATGATCAAGACCAATGGAGGCTGAGATTATTCAGCAATTTAGCTGCAATCTGTGTCTCTTTTCTTGCTCCTAAATTCCAGGAAAAACAGTGCATTTCTCTCCCACAGTGATACATGAATGTCCTGCAGCAAAATGCACAACTATCCTCCTCAGACAATAAAATCAGGAGTCTGAAAAGGCAAATAGGATAATTACTTGCTCATACACTCTTACCAAATCCAGATCTCAGGCTGAATCAGCAGTGGCAGGTAGCTGTAAACTGGTTTGGTAGGATCTGAAATGTATGTTCTGTCCAACACTTAATTCTGGGTGGGAACCATATTTAGTATATTTATCAAGAAGTAAATCTCTAATCTGAGCAGATGATGGTGGGGAATTTGTCAAACTACAGCTAAAAAAACAAGCAAGGGTAGCAGTTGCAAATGCAACTGTTAGCAGTAATTGCTTGTACTGTTTGCATACTTCAGTGTCCAAAAATGGAACAAATTGCTTGTCAGAATGAAGAACAAATTGCTATTTAAAGTTTGCATTATGCATAATGTTGCAGTAATCTTATCTACTCTTGTAAAACTTTACATATGCTTGCTTATAAATTATATCACACTGCAGTTGCGTACTTCTTTTTTGACATGTCTGGGATTGACAGGACCTGAAGGTCAGTAACACTTGCATGGTTCCCCAGCTCTCGTATAATCAAACTGAAGACCTGCACCTTGACATAGGCTGAAGATGTGCACACCCATGTTTTGTAAGGTATCAAGGAGCAGTTTTGGTAACATTGCAAAGGAGGAGGATCCCAACCTATGATACCACAACCAGATACCTAAATCACTAAGCTATCCAGCCATCTATTCTGGCATAAATACCTAACAGGATTCTGGTCACATTATTGCAACTGCCACATACTCTATAGATTTCTAAAAACTGACACTTTCTACAAATTCTGATCTAATAAATCATGGGGTTTATTTCGTTTCAGCCTTGTGGCACAGTAATTATGCTGCAGTACTGCTGTCAAGACTCTGCTCATGAGTTCAATTCCAATGGGCTCAGGTAGCCAGCTCAAGGTTGATTCAGTCTTCCATCCTCCTGAAGTCAGTAAATTGAGTACCCAGCTTGTTTGGGGGTGAGGACAATGTGTAACCTGGATAATTAAAAATTGTAAACCATTTGGAGAATATGTTGAGTGCTATGGGGTGATACATAAGCACAATTTTTGTTGTCTTTGTTTGGGGGGCAGATGCAATTTGATTTACTTGCAAATATTTACCCAGATTTTACTGCCAACACCAGCTTCATATAATATAAGCCAAGAGTTAAATGGAAGTGGTAGAGGAGGAAAAGTTAATGCAAGAAGGAAGGGAAATTCCATTCTCTTGTCCTTAAATACCAAGCAATGGTATCTTTCCAAAGAACTTCTGCAATGGTTGTTGTAGGTTTTTCAAGCTGTTTGGCCATGTTCTGGAGGTTTTTCTAATGTTTTGCCAGTCTCTGTGGCCAGCATCTTCAGAGGACAAGAGTTAGAACTCTGCTTGTGTTCCGGTGTAGTGTGTGGGACAGTTGAGTATTGGTAGCTCTTCAGCCTGTGTCAAGTTGCAGGTCTTCAGTCTGATTATATGAGAGCTGGGGAACTGTGACCATGCAAGTGTTACTATCTCAGACATGTCAAAAAAGAAGTACACAACTGCAGTGTGATATAATTTATAAGTAACATTAGTTGTATTTTTGTGGAGACCGTATGTTACGGTCAGCAAAAGACAAAAGGGACCCCCTCACCACTGGAGGAGTATGCTGCATACCTTGCAGGTGTGGCCAGGTATACATATATATATTGGGACCACAAAATGCAGCATCCACACCAGAATCAAAGAACATTAAAGACTCTACAGACTAAAACAACCAGAAAAATTGGCAGTAGCTGACCGTTCCCTGAAACAAGCAGGTCATGAAATCCTATTTCAAAACACAGAAGTACTGGACAACACCAGAATCATTATGTTAGACTACACAGAGAAGCCATTGAAATCTACAAACATTAGCACAGCTTCAACAAAAAAGAAGAAAGTCTAAAACTCAACAAAGCCTGGCTCCCACCATTGAAAAATACAGCCTGCAAAAAGGTCAACGAACTCTACCCAGCCACAAGGACCAGTGATTACTGCACACAAAAGACTAGCTAACAACACCCATAGCAGTGACAGATCATCTCCCCCCCTTATCACAACAATATATCCATAAAAAAAAACACCCTGATCACCACAATAACCCAGTCTCATGAAAAGGACAAAAAGCTGATCCCACAGCTACAAATACTCAATTATCCCACACACTACACCAGAACACAGACAGAATTCTAACTCCTGTCCTCTGAAGATGCCGGCCATAGAGACTGGCAAAACATTAGGAAGAAAAACCTCCAGACAGCCCCAAAAAACCTACAGCAACCACCGGATCTCGACCGTCAAAACCATCAAGAATACAATTTCTGCAATACTATTTTCATGCTTCCACAGTGTGGCGCTGCTCATCACAACACCTGCACACTTTTTCTATATTTCTCTACAAACCATCATACTTCTCAGTGATCCCCACCAGCACCAACTTCATGACTGAAAACCATGGTGAAATAGTTAACTGGTCAGGTCCAGATTATAGTTGTGGAAGGAGAATGAATTGTCAGCCTTTTGACAATGTAGTGCCTTCCCTCACCATTTACCACAATGGCTGCAGTTTAATGGAAAGTAAAGTTCAAAACATTGAGGGGTACAAGATGGGGGGGGGTCTGCACTAGGTGAATTCACCATAGTTTAACACATTAGATTCTGGAGAGTTTTATTGGGAAACAATGATTAAGAGGGCTAAAAAAGATTTATGGGAAATGCTTATCGTGAAGATGAAAAATCAAATGACATGGAGATGGACAGTGATCTGATTCCTACAACCATTAACAAACCACAGAAGATTTAACAGCCTCATGTTTTGTGTGTACTATTACCTTTCCAAATTATTTCATCCTCCAGAAAAATGATCAGAAGAGACATTTTAATACAGCACCAAATTAATAAAATAAGCCTGAACATCTGCTACCATTTCCCTCAGGATTTTCCCTCTCCAGTGCCCCATATTTTCCACCTGCTACTGCTTCTGATTACAAATAAGGAACACATCCATTGAGCTTCACCATTCATTGGCCATCTATATTTTAATTAGAACAATAGCTCTGAATTGTAAACAGAAGATTAGAATTCGAGCACTACCATTCCATAATCAGAAGAGTTATTTTTTTTCTCAGAATCTTTTTACGCTTTCTAGTTTCTCTGTTGTATGTATTCTCACAAATGTATGCAGATACATGTTCGACTACCATCACAGCCCATCTCACTCATGTGTTTCAGTGTATATGCTCTGAATATAATGCACCATTGACTCAGTGTGTGATTAGTGTTGTCAAAAACTGCACTGGGACATTACACGAGCATAGCAAATGAAAAGCCCCACCTTAATCCCAATCACCAACACAGCAAATCTGTGATCAAATTAATGTTCACGTATAGAAAACAAAGATTTTGCCAATATTTCACAATTTATTGAGTTTTCTAACACCTGGTTTCTGTTTTTGAATTATATTATCCATCTCACCAATGCCTACCCACCACCTATATCTCATGTTGATCTACCACAGGATTCTGAATTCTTGCACCACATTTTCCTATCAGATTGCTGTGGTTGTAACTTTACTTTCAGCTACTTTGCATTATTTTGGTTTGCAGATTCTGGATGAATCTGATTGTATATGTTAATGTTTTAGTTATTTTAAAAATATAAGATTAGAGTGTGGTCACACTATGAAAATAAATAGGGAGAGGGAGCAGGGTTCTGGAAGTAGTTTAAAGTCACCCGGTGGCCAGGTAGTTTTTGGGTCAATGTGTGCATCTTCTTGGGAAAACTTTTAATTCTTTTGGGGAGTGCAGCTCCTCCAAAAGCATATTCTCTCTCTCTCTCTCTCTCTCTCTCTCTCTCTTTATGCTTACTCTTTTACTCTTCAGGCAGGTTGTTTTTACTTAGCTTGCTTTCATGTTTCTCTCCCTTCTCCCCCCCCCCGTCCCCTTTTAAACAAAAGAGCTGGGGAGTTGACAAGTTCTTCAAATCCCCCTCTCCCCTTCTTTTTCTTTCCTTTTGCGTGTGTGTGCATGCTTCTCACACACACATACACACTCAGTGTGTGCTTCTCAGCGCAGAGCCTGCCTCTCAGCAAAACGGGTTACACAGAGTATAAAATCCTGGCAGGGAGAGAGCAGCAGCCTTCAGCCACCCCCTTGGCTCCAAGACACACTCACTTGCTTCCCCAGCTCATTCTCCACCCTTCACCTGCTCAAAGTAGTGATCAGCAGCCAATACTCGACAAGCTGTGCATGCTGGCTTCATTTATTTTTTACAAAATTAGTTTTGAAGTGGCATATTGGTAAAATG